TGTGTATGAAAGAAATAATTGGTAATAATAATACATTGGGAACTTTAGCACGATTAATGATTTAAATGGACGAATTGTATTATGCAGAAGAATTTTTTCGAATATTTTATGAAGAAAATTCACGTGATTATAATATTCATGATCTTAATAAGATGTATAATTTTTTCTCATACATTTATACAAAGCAAGGTAATTACGAGAAAGCAATGGAATATTGTCAGAAAGTTATTGACAGTGAGAAATATATTGAACATGATCGAGACACACTTGCAGCAACATACAACAATATGGGTGAACTTTATAATATTAAACAAGATTTTGTTTCGGCAATAGCAAACTTTACGAAAGCTATTAGTATTGACAGTGATAACCCTGATCTCCTTGACGTATGTTACAACAATATAGGATTAGTTGCTGCAATGCAACAGGATTATTCGACCGCTTTGAAAATGTTTGAAAAAGCAGTCAAAATAGTTCAACTCAATTTTCCTTCCAATCATCCATCACTTGGAAGGTTATATATTAATATTGCTACTGTTTATCAAGCACAGGGCAATATGACAATGGGAATAGAAATGCTTAAAAAGTCCCTAGAAATTCATAATGGTTCACGTCCACCAACTCATCACGATATCGGAATAGCTAACAAAATTTTAGGCGACGCTCTTCATCGGAATAACCAAGTTTTTCAATCATTAAAATACAAAAGAAGAGCAGAAGAAATTCATTTAAAATCTTTCCTTAAACCAGACAATCATCATAGACCAGCAGTTCGAATCAGTAACTATGGCGCCATTCTACATGCTGAAGGTAAACATAAAGAAGCCTTAGAAGAATATGAGAAAGCATTGGCTATGGAATTGGTGGACCATGCACCAAATGATCCATCGCTTGAACCTCTCTATTATACAATGGGAATGATTCATTTCAAAGAAAAGAATTTTTTACGAGCATTGCAAATGCTAGAAAAAGCGATTGAAATTGAAACAACTACTGATACAAACACAAACAATCATTCACTTGCCAATACATACACTTTAATGGGTATGATATATGAATGTCAAAAAAAGCACAAGGAAGCATTTCAATTTTTGACAAAAGCATTAGAAATAAAAGCGCAATATCTACCACCCGATCATCATGACATACAACTATACTATGAAATGATTGAAGTTATTTGTCAAAAATTATAATGAGTTTCGTTTTAAAAATTAAACGAATAGGTTACTCAAATTTGAGAATGAATGTTTCTGTGGAATAAACTTACGATTAGTGTTCAGCATGTGTACTACTTTTCATATGGAGATCTGACCAAACCTGACGATGAGCGTGACTGCGAGTGTCAGGTATTTGTGGGGTGGGGGTGTGGGGGGGGGGGGGGGGGGGGGGGGGGGGGGGGGTGGGGGTGTGGGGGG